CCTCCCTCACAAACCAGACCCCCCGGCCCCGGCCGGGGAAGGGGCACCAGGAGATGCCCACCCTCCCAGGGAGGGAGGTTCCAGCAGGCTCCATTGCCCAGCTGCAGTCAGACATGTGCCCTCCTCCTCCTCATCCTCCTCCTCCCCCCTCCTGCAGCAGAGCCAGGCCTGGCTGTGGGGGCTACTTCCTACACAGCCACAGCCCCTCTGCCCCTGCCCCTCCCTGTGCGGGGCTGGGATCCATCCCCGGGTCTCTCAGCCAGCCCGGGGTTCAGTTCCCATTTGGCTGGGGTTTGTGGTTTGATGGCATCCAGCTCACACCCCTGCTCCATACAGCCTGCCCTCCTGCCACTGCAGGGCTACGTGGCTGTGCTCAGGGCTCTAAGGGGAGCTGCCAGGTTTGGGGTCTTCCCTGAGTCGTGTTTTCCTCTGTGGCTATTCTTCACCTGTCTGTGGTTTGTTTTTGCAGAGCTGGTCGAGGGGAATGTCTTACTGTCTCCACTCAGAAAGCCATTTGGATACTGGGCCAATATACGTGCGTGAAAATGGGAAGCTGCATGTGGTAAATCAGGGTGCAGGCGGCATACAGGATGTCACTCCCCAAACAAGACCTTTTAGGCTGTTTTCCAGAAGTTTTTCAGTGGAGCTTTGCATGAACAGGGAGGACGATAGGGCAAGGAGGCAGAGGACCGATCATTTCATCTTCACGTACACTAAGGAGGGGAACCTCCGCTACTCGGCCAAGTCTCTCTTCAGCCTAGTGCTGGGTTACATTTCTGACAATGTTGATCACATTGACTCGTTGATTGGTTTCCCAGAGCAGATTGCTGAAAAGCTCTTTTCAGCAGCAGAGGCAAGACAAAAGTTCACAGAGCCAGTGACGGGACTGAGAGCTCTACAGAAGTTTACTGAAGCCTATGGCAGTTTGGTGCTATGTTCATTGTGCTTGCGGAATAGGTAAGTCTGTTCACTGACAAATATTGTCATCTGCCAGGGCTTTTTGCTAGCACACTTCAAGTTTCCCCTAAATTAAATTAAAAATATCTCTTGGGCTTGTAACACCACCCAATTTTAATTAAATGCCCTGAGCCTTATCTGATTCTTCTGCTTGCTTTTTTGTGCCATCCCTTTCCTACAAGTGCAGCTGCTGGTTTCATTCTAAGGTACAAATCTTAGAATTTACAGAGAATTACAAATGTAACAGACAACAGACTACATCTGTGTTAACTAAGAGGGGATCTTAGTGGAGGATTAAATCTGCAACATTTTTTAACTATAATAATCGGCACTTCCATAGCAATCCATGCGTTTTATGCCTTCTCAGGCATTTCATGGGATGTTTTTGTAATTGCTGTTTAAAAGCATTTCAACGTTCTTAGCTGTGTCTGTACAGATAAAATACACCCTTGCAAACTCTCTGGGTTTATTTACTATAGTAAATAAAGCTTTTGCTCTGTCTCATTCTGGGGGCTCAGAAAAAGACAATCTGTAGGTAAGTAACAGGCTTTGAAGTCAGGCAGGTTTTACCTTAGTTTATTGTGGTTCCCATCCCCATAGTGAATGTGCTTTGACAAGGTCCTGTTTGGAGTCCAGCATTAGTTTTTCTATCTTCTCAATGTCCACGTCTTTCGCTGAAAGTCTTGCCAAGCTTTAAACTGGATTATGTTTTTAAAGCCTTGCTCCTACTGAAGTCTTTCCCAGTAATATAACTAGTCTCTTCCATCTCTACACTTGAAAAAGGGATGGTTTATCCAGTTTAAAATCAAAGTACAGGCATATTCATCTGAAGTGCCAAGGGTGTTCTGAGCACAGTAGGAATGTTTGAGTAGAAGTCAATTATCCTTTGTTTCATCCTTTAAACCTACTTCCTTTTTATCTCTAGCACAGATAATTTTATGGGCTTAATTCAGAAATTAAGCTACTTCTGGCATCTTCTGCCATTACAGAAAGCTGAGTTAAGTATCAAGTCTTTGAAATCCAGGGAGTAAGGCATTAAGGCATTTTCTGATGAATTTTATTTCTAAAAGAGGCCACTCTTCTTTCTCAAGAACTGGCTTGTTCTCTGACTGCCTTCTGCATAGCCAAATTGCACAGCAGAGGGATTTAGGGGGTATTTTGGTAGGTAAACTTACACTGGGAGGATATTAAGATCCCTTTATTTGCATGGACAGAGAGGTGTTCTTTGAGGGATCAAATTAGTCAGCACCCCTCAGTTAAGCAGTGAAGATGCTGACCTCGGGGTCTGTCTTGCCATGGGGAATATAAGGTAAATTCAGGAGAGATTAGTGAATTTGGAGCTTGTCTTGCCACAGGGGCAGGAAGAGGTAACTGCAGGGGAGGTATTGATGGCTACGTGCTTATTACTGCATACTCATGCCTGCCATTCTTTAGTGGTTTGTTCCCATCTCTAAACCTCCTACTGAATAGCTCCAGCACAGATGTTTGCGTGGCTGCAGAGTGAATCAGATCAGGGAACCAGCACAGCTAGAAAAATAACCCGCTGAGTAACTGCTGCCTGGGCTGTAGGCACAGCTCTGGGTAGTCCTGGACTTTTATCTAGTCAAGTATTTTATTGACACATATAAAAAGTAAAATTTTGCCATTTGCCAAGCTATCCTGAGACATTTGCAGTGGATTTTAAACCTGGGTGAATGTGGGTTGGTCTACACCTTTCCAAGATGCAGAGGAACAGCAGTTTGTGAAGTTATTTATGAAAAACTGGGATATCATTTTGCATTATTCTGAAATAATGCAACAGTGATCTGCAGAGAAGTTCCTAACTGCGATGTTTGCAAGTTGAAGTCTTGTTAGTCCAATATTTTGGATCAAAGCAAAACCATGACACTGATTTAAGGAGAAGACTGGGAATTCAGACATGTTGTGTGCCAGCTGCACATAAAAAGGTACTTAATGCAGCTGGCTAATTTCTGTCAGTTCTCACAGAGATACTTACCAGAAACAACCGCATTATGCTTGTGACATATGAGGATATGCCTTCTTACATGCCTGAGCACTGATAGCTTTTTTTCCCTCTTTGCAGATACCTGGTTATCTCTGAAAAGCTAGAAGAAATTAAATCTTTCCGGGAGCTGACATGTTTGGATCTCTCCTCCTGTAAACTGGGAGATGAACATGAGCTGCTGGAACACCTCACCAAAGAGGCCCTGTCCAGGTACCAATTTCTTGACACAGAACTAAAAATGACACTTTCTTTCC